TGGTCGACTACGTGGGAGTCCAGCGACATAGCCATTACGCTAACTGGTGGTTCCCCAAATTAAATCATTCTTTAAAAAAAAAAAAAAAAAAAAAGATTATGCCTGCCAGCACATGGTATGGCAGTTAAGATGCTGGACTCCCACATGGCCAAACATGGTTCAAGTCCTGGACCCAGCAGCTTTGAAGCATACTGTGTGCATGTGTGTGTGCACCCAGAATCCCAGCAGGGGAATGGAACAGAAGGGATTGCAGTGTGGCCACTCCCCCTGGGGGGGTGATTTCTCACTTTCCCTCTCTCTCTGCCTTTCTGGGGAGTACATGAGCCCTATGGGAAAAAAGGAAAAAAGAAAAAGAAGATTATGCCTTATTATATTGTAGCTCTTTCAGTCCTTGGGGCAAAACCTATTCAAATATTTGCTGAATGAAGAGGTAATCAATGCCTGATTAATGGACTCAATAAGCCTTCAACATTTCTGCTCATGAACACTAACAGAGATGGAAATTCACTAATTGTCAGCCTGAAAAACCCTAGTGCAAATTACATACTGGGTCACAAATTTTTATCTAGGTATAAAATGCAAGGGAATTAGGGCACTTTAAAAATCTAAAATGGTAAAAGTTTAACTCCCTACTGAATGCCAGAGCATCCTATGAAATAAACTCTTCTAAAATTGTCTAGATCCACTAACGTTTCTAAGTACAAGTGCTCATTACCATGTTGGCATTAAACAACTCTACCAAATAAATACTTGTCTCCTGTTTTGCAAAAAATTCAAAGCATCGACTCTGATCTTGCAGCTCTGTGATGGAGGAACAGAATAATCTCTCACAGGTGCAAATTAAAGGCGGCATCCTTTTTCTTCTGGCATAGGTGACAAGCAAAGGGCAGGTGGAGAACGGCTTAGAGAGGAGAGCACTGGCGTGGAGGTCCTATCGCCTTCCACAAATCCCTGCATTCATTTGATAAATATGGACAGGACGCCAAGTGTGTGCACGGCACCTAGCGACAGCCGATTTCCTATGCTCACGGAACTCACAAATCAAAGGGAGATGATGACAATAAAGATGCTTGTGAGGTGGGAACAGCAGATAGCATAATGGTTATGTTGCCGGACTCCCACATAGTTGACCACAGTTCTAGTCCTGGACCTGGCACCTTAAAGCTCACACAGGGCATGTGTGTGTGCCCGTACCCCAAATCCTAAGAGGAGAATAGAGGAGAAGGGATTGGAATGTGGTCACCCTCCATGGGAGATTTTTCGCTTTGTCTCTCTGGCAAGCGCAAGCACCCTATACAAAAAATCTCTCTCTCAAAAAAAAAAAAAAAAAGAAATGCTTGCAAGGTTTTCTTGAAAACATGCTACTTGAGGCAGAAGTGCCTCTCTGGCAAGTGAACACATGAACACAGATAAGAGGGACATTCCAGGAACAGAGAACTGACATGAGCCACAGCCTTACTTCACAGGGTTAGGCACTGCTTCCTCTAAAACACCTTCCAAACTGCCTCCATTCCTCTCTTCCCTATCCAGGGAACATTTCTCCTGGATATGAGTTACAGTCTCTAACTGGCCTTGCGGCTTCCATTCTTGTGCTCCCCTCCATCTGTCATCTTCCCAGCACCAGGGTGAGCTTGTGAAAACATGAGCAATCATGGGACCAGCAGATGGCATAATGGTTATGTCGCTGGACTCTCATGTAGTGAACCGTGGTTTGAGTCCAGGACCTGGCAGCTTAAACACACACTGGACATGTGTGTGTGCATGTATGCCCAAAGTCCCAAGGGGAGAATGGAGAAGGAATTGTGATATGGCCACCCTCCCACGGGGTGATTTCTCACTTTCCATTTCTCTGTCCTGCTGACGAGTGCACACGCCCTATAGCAAAAATCTCTCTTACAAAACTAAAGCAGGAGACCAGCAGGTGGTGTGGTGGTTAAGGCGCTGGACACTGCCACATGGCCTGCCACGGTTGGAGTCCAGAACCTAGTGGCTTGCTTTCTCACCCCCCCAATCCCCGCCATCGTGTGTCACTCTCTGATCAAATTAAAATAAATGAATAAATAAAATTAAATAAGTAATCCTTAAAAAACAAGTAAAACAAAAACAAAATAGAAATATCAAACATGAGCAATCTTGGTACTCCTTGCTGACAATTATCTTGTGAATTCTGTCACTCTACACACAACCCCAAACTCTTCACTGTGTCCTGCAGGCCCCCAACATGTGGCTGCTTGACTCCTCC